TCTAAAGGGCCAGGAGTGACCTGATGATCCTTGTGGGTCCCTTCCAACTCAGCATATTCTTTGATTCTGTGTTTCTGTGAGTTTTTTCACTTTGAGCTCAATTAATACTCTAATTGTTGAATACAGTTGGAGTGACAATAGAGCTTTAAAACAATGTGAGAAGGGCACATATATCTTCCAGCACTTCCCGTGTTGCTGATTATGCATATCACAAAATAAAGGGCACATTACCAGCTCTGTAGCTTCACAATCAACATCCAAATCTCACTTCTGTAATATCTGTCTATTTACCTATTTAAGAAAGTGTTTCTTTTTTTCCCCTTTTTGTTTCTTTAAAAAGAAACAAACAAAAAAACAACTAACCAAACAAACAAACTTGCAAGTACAGCCGTAGCTGTAAGCAAACAGAGGCTCTGAACAGTTTGTGGTCCAGCACACATAGAGGTTGTGCAGCCACAGAGGCATATGTGAGAACTTGGACAAAATCAGTGAAAATATGGGCTTACTGAAAGCACATTTAGGTCGATGATTACAAGCTATTAAATTATATAACTGTATTAGGCCTCAGTTCTCTAGCACATTACACAGTAAATCTCACTATCCCCACTGAATTCAAAGGAGAGACATGAATACACAATTTCTCTATCTTAACCTTGGATTAGTCTTCTTGGATTAGTTTTATATCAGTTATGCTTGCATGGATACATATATATGCTCTGTTTTACACTGCCTATAGTAAAAAGTCAAATGTATCCAGAGCTTAAGTTACTGTTCTTTCCTTACCACTAAAAACATACAATGGACATGTTTTGTCAGTACTTGAACATGTATTGCTGGCCATTAGGTTATTGATTCTTTACATGGATTCTCACCTGGATTTTTGGCTGGTTATCAGGTATTTGCAGTGGCTCATCAGTCAAGTGTTCTAAACAGAATTTACCTTGCTGGCATGACTCTTTTCTCATCCTGCACTTCACTTTATATAATACTGAGTGCAAGTAGCCTATTAGGCAGTAACAAGTCTCCATACTTCCACTGCATCCAGATAAGCACAGGAAAAGTCTGCCCCTTATATCACCTTACTGAATATGTCCAAATGACATAAAAGAACAGGGTCAAAAGGGGTGAATGAAGAGAAGAAGCTGCCTACCAGGATAAGTGAATTTCCTAACTCTGGCAGTTGTCAATGGGTTGCGTTTTTTGACCTATCACTCAGCATGATCTTTACAAGTCTCCTCAGCAGTAATTTTTAAAAGTTTGGGGTTTTTTGGCATTTTGGTTTTTTTGGGGGTTTTTTGTTGGTTTTTTTTTTTTTTTTTTTTTTTTCCCCTGATAAGCTCTCTTAATAAAGGTTTTCTTACAGAGCTTTAAATTTAGGTATGACTTTAGTGAGTTTTCAAAACACAGTCATTGTTAGCCTAAGTTATATTGATAAAGGTAGAAATATAATTAAAACAATAAAGAGTCTGTTAAGAATTCTTAAAATCAGAGTTTAAAAACTCTAAGGACAGAAGACAGAAATATGGGTCCCATTACCAACCTTTAATAGAAAAAATATATCTTTTTTATTTTAAAGAATATATATAGACATTGGCATATGCAAAAACATTATGCAAAAAACCCTCTTTACCTCTCTAAACTTTCCTTTAAAATCCAAATAGAGTTTAAAAATAAACAAAATTAACTTATCACATTTAAAAATCAGACCCTTCTAGTTTCACCCAATTAAATAGAAATATCTAAGTGAGGAATAGAGATATCCAAATTTCTTTACAGTTGATACAAAAGAGGTACCACAAAGGCATGAACTAAATCAAAGTATAGAACTATCTCTATTTATTTTAATTATACTAGAAGGCTGGGCTTCTACACACTTAACCTGAATATTTAAAGGTGGCATTCGTCTAATGTTTTATGGGACTCTAATTTTCACTTTATTCAGAACTATTTCTAAGTGAATTGGATGACAAATAATAGACATGGACAACTCAGTTTTCAGTATTTCCTTACTAGCAAGTAAATTTGAACGCTTCAAGGTTATTCCAGGAATTAAAGCGTCATTTTGGCTTTTATGAGAATTGATACCAGTTTTATCAAAAGCCCAGGCTATCTCTATCAAAAACTGTACCTTATCTTACATTATCCTGTCAGATCTTTCTTTATGTTTCTGTCCTAGTTAGAACAGCTGGGACCAGTTCATCACTGGATGGGTGTAACCCAAAACTGTGTATTCTATAGCCTTCCATGCCATTTCCCAGAGACTGTTATCAATGAACCATTTACACCATCTGCCCATAGAGCAGGTGTTAAGAGGCCTGCGAGATAGGAGGGTGCTCTTGTCCTCATGCCCACTGAGGAACCCCCCATCCTGAGGGAGGTACTGGGCATTCCTGCCTGAACTGGAGGATATATAATCTTGGAGTCTTGGGACTTTTTTAACCACTCGTGGGATCCAGAGGAAGACTGCAGATCACCACTCTCAACCAGACTGCAGACCACCACTCTCGACCGGACTGCAATCACCACTCTTGACCAGACTGCAACAGCACTCTCACCAACAGGTTTTCCCCTTTCCTTTTCCTTTGGACTCAGGGGGCCCAACGAACACCACTCTGTTCATGCCCCAGGGTGCTGGGTTATACATTTGGGTTTTGTGGATTAAGACCAATTGTTTGTCTTTATAATCGTACTTATTGTATTATTTTATTAAATTGTTATTCTGTCTTATAATCTCTCTTTTGAGTTGAGTTCATTTCCCCTGCTGGTTTACCTTTAAACCAGCACAGTTTCCTACCTACCTCATTTTCTTTATTGCCTTTTAGTAAATGTCGAAGTTTTGCTGGACAATAAATGGCTACAGGACCATCAGCCAGATGACTGTGATGGGCTACTGCTATTTGCAGTATAAATGTTCTATTTCTGTGTCAGAGTTCTCAATGGAAATTGACTATTTGCTTCCTTGCTTGTTGTGATTCTGTCAACACTGAAGGTACATGTTCCTCTATTTCCTGTTCTATTTGAGTGTCCAAATCATAAGAAATATTCTTTAAATACAAGCTTTGTTTGATGAGGTTTAAACTAAGGTCAGTGACTAATGATAAACCAGTATCCTTGGTAAAACTTTAGAATAAATTTAACAGGACTAATATAATATTCTAGTATTAGTGGGGGGAAAAAACACCTCTTCATGCGCCATTGTTCTAAGATGTTTAACATTATGTTTTGCTCAATTCAGCAATGGAATAAGGATAAATACAACAACTAATAACAGAGCAGAATACACTGAATTACACTGGAGAAGATATGTCCATGAAATCCACCATGGAATACAATGCTCCTTGAAGATCATAGACTAGTTTTGGTTGTAAAGGACTTTTAAAGGTCATCAATCCTTGTGTGATGTGCAGGGACATCTTCACTAGGTCAGGTTGCTCAGAGTCCAGTCCTACCTGAACACAAATATTTCCAGGGATGGGGCATCCACCACCTCTTTGGGAAACATGTTACAGTGTTTCACCACCCTCACTGTAAAAAATTCTTCCTTAAATCTAATCTAAATTTATGTTCTTTTAATTTAAAACCATTACCCCTTCTCCTATTAAAACATACCCTGCTAGAGCCTGTCCCCATCTTTCTTATAAGCCCCTTTCAAGTACTGAAAGGCCACAGTGAGGTCTCCCCAGAGCCTTCTCTTCTTTAGACTGAACAACCCCAAGTCTTTTAGCCTATCTTCATAGGAGAGGTGCACCAGCCCTATGATCATCTTTGTGACCCTTCTCTGGATACTATCATCACTACACTGTTTACTGTTCTTTCATGTTGTACTAGTACCTTGGGTCTCAAGTCAGGCTCTATTTTTCTTATTCAAGGATAAAATACCTGTTGTGTCCAATGTGTATTGAGAGTGGGCCAGATATAAAAAAGCTGAAAAGGAGATAGATATGAAGACAAATGATCAAAAACACACCAGATCAGAGCCCTGGTCTTGGCAGACACACAGTGTGAGACAGGTCATGGTGCTATTTTGGCAGAGGGTTGGGTCCAGTTAAATTCCTTATGCTTAAATGACTCCCTACAAACAACTTATTAATGACAAAGCAGTTGCCACAGTGACAACAACATCCAATTGCCAGGCATTGTGGGAATTTCAGCCAGCTGTATCCTTCCCATGAGTGATGTGAAGCAGAGAGGTCATGAACACATCAAATATGTCTGTGACTAAATATGCTTTGGTAGCCAATTCTAGTTAATCTCCGTGCTCTCAATTCGTTTTCAAACTGCAAGTGCATAAAACAGGACCAACCACTTAACATCTGGCAAAAGTGAATCCATGTAGCAGTGGACAGCACATGGCAGCTATCAATAACACATAGCTACATATATTAAAAAAAAAAGTAAATTAAAAAAACCCCAAGATTTAAAAACCTTATTATCTTTAGACAGAAATAGCAGCTATTCCCATCTTGCCAACTCAACCTTCCTGACGATAGCTTTTCTTGTCCAGATTTGTATCAATATTAATACTCATTAATTTGCTAAACCTGCGAATTCCAGGCTGTTAAAACCAGATTTCACTGAAACAGTACATAGCAGACAACAAAATAGTCTTAGCAAAGCAGTGAATATATTAAATACCTTCTGTTACCCTATGTTCCTGTGGATTTCCCATCTCCCTTTCCAGTTTCTCCTGCAAAATATCCTTTGGTTATTCTTTTCCCATTGTCTGTTTTTTATTAAGATTTTGTCCTTCAGAGCTTCATTTTTAGTCCTCTCTGTCTTATCACCATATGAAGTTATATGTCACCTACCATGATGATGACTCACAAACCTCTGTCCTCAGCGTTGATTTAATTTTCATCCCCTACTTCCTCATACGTTATCTTGATTGCCCTTTAATAATCAGTACTGAGCATTTGAAAAACTGAGTTTTTCTCTTTTTCTTAAAAATACAGAGTTTCCTTCTTCCCTGATCTATTCATACTTACAGATAGACATTTGGTCCATTCTATTATCCAGTCCTTCCTCCTCTTCATCCTCCTTAAGGCTCATCTGGCTCTTTTTTTTGCAACACACACTGGAAAGAATCTTTCCTTTAGATACCCACAGTTAAAAATCAGTTTCTCATATTTCAGTGTCTTCTCACTAATAATGACAGGTATTACCTGAAAAAAATACCCTTTGGAAAGGTTTTGAAATTCTGTATATGATTAAATCTCTAATCTTGTTTTTAACTAATAAATAATGGGTAGCATATATGTACAGTGAATCAGTATAATTTTTAGAGTAGATCTAAGAGTTAGATGGTTCATCCTAACTTTGAGGTATCTTTTCATCAAATGTGTCACTTTATTTCACCTCCCTCCCTGCCTGTTTGTTTGTAACTGTGACAAAAGCTTTTAAATTAGAAGGAATAGAGACTCTCCTTTTTGTCTTTTTGTCTTTTTTTTCTTTCTTTTTTTTTTTAAAGGTCTGAGTCCTCTAGCATTTACATATCACCTCCTATAATGCATTTAATTTTCATATGTTGGTACAAAAAAAAAAAGGAAAAAATAATTTAGCTTAATGGATTCAGGGAGGATAAGTAGAACAGTAGAAAAATAACACTACAGAGTTTCTTTTACATTACAAGCTTGACAGAGAGTGCTTTGTCTTGACAATCTTCAGCATGTAGATTTTTACATTTTCCAAAGAAGTTAATATTTCTAATCCAGCAACACTGTTATCCAATGGAAAGTAATATAGATTTTGGATGTTGCACGAATAGAAACACACACTAATTTGCTCTACGGTTTTAATAACTCTAAAGAACTGTAATTCACCTCCTCTTACAAAACTTTGGATGCTGCTCAAAATATATAACCTTACTCTTGTTCTGGATTTGCACATACATTTACACATACAATTTCTACATTCACAACACATTCTACATTTGCAACAATTGTAACATAGTTTTTCTCCTTTCATACAGCTCAAATCATCAAGTACTTTGTTTATGACAGCTGTTCTTTGGTCCAGACACTCTTGCAGTATCTACATGCTGTAATTGTTTTTTTCACAGTGTTACTTAGAGGCTTCTTTTGACTTCTTGTTCTCCAACACATTGCTATCAAAATACCCATCTCTCATTGAGGGAAATGGGTAGTTTGGTGTAGGGGATCAATGTATTAACACTTACTTTTACTGTGAAAATTGAGCCAGCCTTTATTACTCTCTAATTAACTTTTGTTTTCATCTGTTGTTCACTGAAATGTCTGTACATGTCCTCTGAGAAAGTTTATTATAATGTGTAACAAAAATAATTGTTAAAAGACACATGAAAACCTTGGCAATGGATAGGAAGTGGACCTAATAAGACCATTACTAAACTAAACTATAACATGCTATATGGTGCTATCAAACTGTTTACTTGTGTAAAATTGTTGATCTGGTGCCTCTCTTTCTCTTTTATTCTATTCTTGCAAATGTCATCATTTTGTCATGTGTGGCTACTCTCTGTTTCTTTTATTAATTATAATTATAACAGCAATATTAAAAAAAATGCAGTGACATTATGAGCCTCGTTTAACACGATTCAAACTATGACAGAAGATATGATTCACCTTGGTACCTTTCAAGGCTTGGCACCACTGTAGGTTAGAAGGCGGCAAGTATGTCATTTAGTTAGTAGAAAACAAAATAACTGTTCTTTAGAAAAATGTCATTACTTTAACATTTATCTCATCTTAAAACACAAATGATTCACATTTTATGTTAAAATATTATAATACGGTAAAAAATATGATGTATAGAATATCAGATGTTTCCTACTATGTAAAATAATGTGGAACAATACCGTTAAGTGATACATTTTTACTTCTTCAAAATGCAACATTTATCATCTCAAATTGAAATGATAAAACAATTTGTTTTGATAATGTTATTTCCAGAATGTATTCAATATGAAGATGTTCCGATAAAATACATTTCCTGATGTAATATTTCATTACAAATGTGGATTATTGTGTACCTTTTAAGTGAGCAATAGTTAATAAAATTAGATTAAGCAATAATTAAAATACAAAAAATAATTTATTAAAGTTTGGTATCAACTTAATCAATTTGGAGAAAAATTTCATTTTTTTGAGTTGAACATCTATATACATATCTGTCTCAGGAATGATGTTTTTTAGATAAAGTTTTACAGAATAATTAGTGTGAAATTTAGTACTTCAGTTAAATACACCATTGATTCTGTACGGTGGCCATAGAGTCACAGTCTGAAGTAGCTCATCAGTTGCAAACTGGTTTTTAAATTAAGGGGTTGATGTTGAGATCACCATCTCGAAACAGCAATTGTTAACACTATAGAACTATGCTCTGAAAACAAACTAGATTCTTTCTTTAATCATTGTTCACAGTCATTTAGTTCATAAAAATTGATACATATTAAGTACTTCAGCAAGTCCATAAATAAGAAAAAGAAACACATTTAGATGAACACATATTTACATATATGAAACATAAACATACATACAAAGAGGTATGTATACATGTATTTTTTTGGTATTTTAAAGCTAGCATATAATGAAACTAAATTAAATTTCCCAGTCATTTCTGGTTTTGTACTGTAGCTATAGGACCAGAGCTCAGAGTATTTTCTAGATTTTTTACCTGGGTGCTGCGAGTTTAGATGGGACATTCTTATTTGATTCTTTCTTCTTAAGTTGTGAGCAAAGTGATCTAAAAGCGAAAAAAAGTCAGTTTATCAGGCTTGGCTATTGAAAAAGAGGGAGAGAAATGAGGTTGCATTAGTAAGAGCCAACAGTTTACTTTCAATGTAAATTGCATGTATTCAGAGTTTAAAAATATTCCCACGAGACTGTCACCTCTGCAAACAGTGCAGTTCAGGCTGGTAGATTTCGTGACATTATGCTACATTCTATGAAGTCACATGCCAAAAATATATCATGCCCAATTAATTCAGTGTTTTGTAGATACAGTAATTTGGAAATGCTTATGACAACAGCTCCTGGCCAGGGTATTTAGAAACATGCTTTTGTCAGTATGGCTTGCAGAACTTGTCCCAAAAAGCTAGGCTGCAAGATGACATATGAGGAAATAAAATTTCTACAGGTGACCTTGTGCCTTTGTATTTTGCTTTCAAACTCTTATTTTCCTCTATGAAAAGAATATTAGAAGTATTATTCTTATTTTGAGTAACATTTCAGAGCTATAATAGTCCGTTTTAAATGCCTAAAGAGGATGAGAGCATGTGGGAAGTAAAGATTCTATTAGAACTTCATGCTTCTGAACATACGGTTTCATACATGCTTCTTGCATAGTTTTTCATGCTAATTTGAAACACATCTTCCCTTCCTCCCTTCCTTTCATGCATCCTTTTTTTTTTTAATTTCTTTTTTATTTTTCAATTCATAGACTCATAGAATGGTTTAGGTTGGAAGGGACCTTAAAGATCATCTAGTTCTAACCAAATGATAGTCTTGACTTTGGGGAGTTCAATAAACATTAAGGAGACAACGTTTCAAACAATTTTCAATCCAAATCTTTATTAAAAATAGACAGATTTGAATAAAGGCAGAATGTGATTGAGTGTTTAGCTTTATGTGTGTTGCCTAATTCCACAAAGTACACACCAGTAGATTTTTGACGAACATTAGACAATCACTTGCAAAGCAGGACTCTGAACCTTTTGTACAGTCTGAATGGCTACATGAAAGGAGATCTTTGCAGTTTACTGAATACATGACAAGCACAGGAATGAAGATGTGAAAAAAAAAGAATTTCCATGGCACCTACTTGAATTTCTTGTTAATTCATATCAATTAACACCATTGCTTGCTGAGAATACAAATAACTATGATTTTCTCATAAAGTGATATATTCCTTTGTGCATCCAGTATGTACCTTTGACTGTTCTGCATTCTATTATATTTCCACTCTAACTTACAAACAAAACTTAATTTTTTCACCATTTCATTTGATATAATTCTTCCTTTGCCTATTACTCACGGAATTAGTCACTTGAAATTCCCCTTGGAATTACATCTCTTGCTCTGCTGTGCACTGTGCAAAAACACCTGTTTTGCCAAGAAAATAATGGTATTTAAGGTCAATTTTCAGAATGATGTGGCTCTGGATGATTAGAATAAATTGGAAAAAAAATAAAAACAACAAAAAAAATATTTTAGCCAGTTTAAATAAGTGTTTATACAAACAACACAGGTTGGAACACATGACAAGTTTAACATATGATTTTTTTTTAACTTTTGATTCAGAAGTAGATTTAACTATTTGTCTGAACCCCTTTATTCATCTTTCTCATCCTTTCTGAGAGCACAGAAGGAAGGGAAGTTATATGAACAAGGAGCTGATAGAGTTGGAATGTAATTGTTTTGTTTTATGGTTCAGCAGGCATCCTGTATTTTACAAAGGCAGGTACAAAGCTAAAAATGACTTCAAATAAACATTGAGATCTGACCATGCATTAGAGGCATGCTAAGTTAGGAGTAGCCATGTGATAAATACAAATTGTCTTTCTTTTAAAAAAGAACATAATAAAAAATAGGCATGATTTTAAAAAAACTCAATAAATATTATTTTCAGTGAGGTAAGATATAGAAAGAGAAATTGTGCCACTTTCAAGACCTAAAAGTCTCATTCCTTTCTCTTTATAACATAACACAACTAAACCATCGCTGAAGATCCAGAGACAGCTAAGTACCACTTAGTTGAAAAACTGCTAACTATAAGCAAGGTAAAGGAGTTAACATATTTCTGCAACTGAAGCTAATACTTAGGACTGAACATGATCAGAATTCAGAGAAAAAACATTAATGACACTGAGAGTTGATTCATACTCTCATAAAGGGTATTCATCAATTTTTATGCTTGTGGATCCCTCAGCAATATTTGATGTTGTGATTGCTAGCTCATCGAAGAGATGTGTCAAGATCAAAGGAAAACTAATATTATTTGATTTTTTTATTATTTGTGTTCACACTGTGGGAATAGTGTGTAATTTTCTCTTTGCCTTACAATTTTTGTTCTCTTATCATCCAGCCAGGGTACAATATGGTTCCTTCCCAAATGCTCCTTCCCAAGACTGTATTCCAAAAGAAAGTGCATGTGCAGCTTTAATCCATGTCTTCAGCAAGACATACAACTGGGAAGTGTTTCAGCCCAGGTCCATGCTGTATACCATGGTGTACATATGAGTTCCAACATAATTTCAACCAATATTTTAACATTGCTTTAAACTCTATCTTCCCATCTCCTGACCATCCACTCGATACAGGCATTAGTTTGAACTTGGTTGTGTGTTGACTTGATCTATATTATGGGGTGGATTCAATATTTCCATTCAGAAAGAAATGTGAGAGTGACAGAAAGGCATGTTTGTCATTACCCAATCCTTTCTTGGGCTGGGAGGAAATGGTTTTCTGAATTAACAAGAGCTGAATGAATTTCAATCTGAGAATACAGAAATCCAGAGAAGATATTTGGAAATCTCAAACTGATAATGAAATCTCCTTTTTTTCAGGTAGAAAATCACAGATAGTTTAGTGCATTCTCTTCAAAATATACCTGTGTTTCCTGGTGATCATGACATTCTTCACATTCCACAATTTCTATCTGGCTACATCCTAATCAGCAATATACCTCCAACCCATCCAGCTTCAACCAGTCCAATATATCTTCCTAGCAACACAAACAACTACAATTAGCATTGGTCTTTTTTTTTTTTTTCCCTATTCTCTGCTTTACACATAATTTTAAGTCAAGTTATAAAAGCTCTTACTGCCATGATTCTGGGACTAAGACCATAGAAACACAAAATGGATGAGGCTAGAACGGACTTCTGTTTAACCTCCTACTCAAGAAAGGCCATCTAGTGCTGTGTGCCCAGGACCATGCCCAGATAGCTTTTTAATACTTCCAGGGAGGAGACTCCACACAAACTTCTCAGGCAACCACTGCCTGTGCTCAGTCACCCTCACAGTGAGAAAGGCGTTTCCTGATGTTCAGACAGAACCATCCGTATTTCAGTCTGTGCATATTGCCTCTGGTTCTGTCCCTGGCACCTCTAAAGAGAGCTTGGCTCCATCTTCCTTGCATCCTCTCATCAACTGGTGAGATTCCCCCAAGCCTTCTCTTCTCTAGGTTAAACAGCCTTAGCTGTCTCCACATCTCCTTGTATGAGAATGCTCCAGTTTCTTCGTCCTCTCTGTGGCATTTTGTTGGCATCTCTCTACACTTGCTCTCTACTGAGGTTCCAGAACTGGACATGATACTACAGGTGTGGCTTCCCCAGTTGAGGTAAAAGTGAGTTTCTTTGCAACAGCTATGGTCAGTCACATCCTGCACTATTCACTGAACTTTATAGGCTCGTGGCCCTTGTACATCTTCTCTGAGTCTTCTTCTATTTTAGGGGTTTATCTAGTGAATCACATTCTACCTCTAGGGGTTTAGTCAGTCATGCGGAGTCCCTCTGGATGAAAGCATGAACTTTTGGCATATCAGCAGCTCCTCCTAGTTTTGTGTCATCAGAAAACTTGTTGAGGGTACACCCTCTGGCATCATCCATATCAATGGAGATGTTATACAGGACTGGAGCCACTATTGACTGTTGCCATACACCACTAGTTACTGTCCTTCAGTTAGACTTCATGCCACTGATCATCACCCTCTGGGCCTGCCCATTCAAGCAGTTTCCAACCCATCTCACTGTCTGCTCATTCAGACTGTACATCAACAGCCTGTCTATGAGGATCACATAAGAGACAATGCCTTAACCATTCTTATTGTTCCGTTATTACAACTTGTGAACATATTTTTGTTTCTTTTTCTCTACACATCCGTGTCAAGTCTAGTCCTTTCTGTACTATAACCCTCTAGGTGGTAGAAGATCATGATTAGTTCTTCCCGAACCTTCTTGCATGCAGTTTAACCCAGCCTCCTCAGTATTTCCTCATATGAGATATGTTTTAGCTCAATAAACATTTTACACATTGGAGGGCCCACAACCAGATATGTTTCTCTAACTAAGGCATCACAAGTACCAAATGAAGAGAAATTAACCCTTTCCTGGATCTGAAATAGGTGCTTTTTGTAATATACCTCTATAAGTGGTTGGTTTTCGGCACCAAAAGCATGCAATGTTAACTCTTGTCTGACTCACAGCCCACCAGGACATCCATGTTCTCTTTTTGCAGAGACTGATCATTAAGTCAGTGCTTAGTCTGTGTGGTTGCAAGTTATTCTGTCTTACCTGCAGGACTTGGAATTTTTGTTTTCTTGATGAAGAAAAATGGAGGAAATAAAAAATCTGAAACAATGGGAAAGTATACCGAAAAATAAGGAAAAATATGAAACTAAAAGGGCAAATAAGGAAATAAGCCGCTTAATATACGTGCTAATGAGAACAGAGACTAAAAATTAAAAATACCTGGGATGATTTCAGGAAAGAAAAAAAAATACTTGACTGTATTCTGTCTAGACTCTAGACTGTCTAGACTGTATCCCCCATTCCTGAAATGAACAGAAAAAAATCGAGGGGAAAAAAATGCTGAAAAAGAGAAATCTTCTTATTATCTTTCTACTGCTGAAACAAAGTGACAGAAGATGGAAAAGTAACTAACCATGGAGAAGTCATATTACAGAAAAGGAAAAGGCCAAAGTGAAAGACTGGACAAATACAATTAGGAAGAAAAAGACAGGAAAAACTCTAGGAAGGGTAGATTTGACATTCAGATTACTGCCATATAATGGGTTTGACCTTTAATTTACTGAATTTCCATTTTTCTTATCTCTGCTTTGTACTTAGTTCTAAGGGAAATTTTACATTTTAAAACACATATCCATCAAGTTGAACTATTTATGAACCTAAAGAAAAACATCTGCTCTTGTTACAAATGTATTTTTCTAAAGTTGTACACTGTAACTGCCAACAAGGAACTCACATGTTGTTGGAGTTAGTCACAGATATTTCTGAGGAAGTACTTGTCTAGATTTCTGAGAACAACAGTTTAGATCTCAGATAGTAGGGTCCTTATTAAATTACATTGCACACATGATGAATCCTTGATATCACATTTAGTTATTCCAAGTGTTGTGAAAACTACCAAGCAGATGATATTTAGATTTTATATGCACAGTTGATATATATGATTTTTTTTTTATTATTTGCTTGTTTTGTAAATGCAGAGATTAGGAATGCAGTCAGGTAAATTTCTTTTATGCTTTTTCTTCTCTTATCTCTTCTGAATAACACAGAACAAATAAAAAATGAACCTAGAAAATCGTTGGACACTTGGAAGAAAATAACTATATTAAGAGTATATTATGGTTAAATATTCTGGCATTTGCAGCAAGCAAGCTCATGAACCTGCCAGCCTGTAAGTTACAACCTGGTTTGAACTTTACATTACCCTGAAGTATTTCTCAGAGAATACAATACTGGTTCTGTACTTTGGGGGGTGGGTGATAATAAAGTATACCCATGTAACATTATGCAATATTTTGTTTCATTCTGTCTAGTAGGGTCTATAAAAGTTACTTATTTCAAAGAACATTGCAAACATACTTAAATAATAGTATTGTTTCACAGAATGAACAGTTGTTGAAAACTTGCAGGAAAAATCAAAGGTTGTCCAAGGTTACAACTAAATTAATTTAGTCTCAGTGCCTGAACTGAAGCTTTGAAAGTTCACACTGCATATACATCATCAAGTAATTTCTTTTCTGCTTTTGTATGTTAGCAATCAGACTAATATAAGAATTACTCAATTTAATTTTTCTATCTTGATTTCTTTAAGTTAAATCTCAAGTCTTTCATTTTGAACTCAGGAAAAAAAAAAAGCAAGAAAGAAAAATAAACTGAGTAAATAAATGTTTTGGTAGTCCCTGCTGTCTTTCTTTTCTTATTAGCATTGTGTTAGGTTAACCTACTCAGATGCTCTCTCACTCCCCATCCTTGACAAAACAGTGGGAGAAAATAAGATGACAAACTTGTGAGTTTAGTTAAATCAAGGTAGATAGCCCTCCACATGG